CATAGGGAAGCTCCACGTTTAGCAGTTTGTCTCTCTCTCTCTTTTAAGGTTTATTTATTTATGCACTCAGACCAGAGATGCAGGGGATGGGGTGAGAGGACTCACCAGAGACAGAGTGGGGAGCAGACGGCAGATGGACTGAAATACACGGGACAGGAGAGGTCTGCCAGCTGTGGTGGGCAGCTCCCTGGCTGGAGTGCTAAGGCTGCGGAGAGCTTCATAGTGCCGCGCTTTAACCCTCTGCACCACCAGGGAGGCCTGGAGTCCTCCATCCATCTCCAGCCCCACTTCTCTGGAACAGTAGCCAGGACCTGGACGCGCAAGTCTTTTAGGTCGGCCTTTCCAGTCTTGAATATATTAGACATTCACCGACTCTAAGGAAACCGTCCTCCTGCAGGCTGGCCCCGAGCGTGTGGTCGTGTGGCCCAGCAGACCCAGCACACCACACCCGAGGCCTGGAGGAGACCCTCAGGGATGCGCTGCGCCTGAACAGTGGTGTCTCTGGAGGTGGCTCATCTCCACTCACCTGTAAATTAGGGTCCCCTCTGGGCTGACTGGCGTCAGGACTGCCAGTGTCAAGTACTGAATGCCAGGATCACTTTCAGCTGTGACCGCAGATGTCCCTACACATCACCCATATCCCCCCTAGAGGCCCAGGTAGGGACCACCGACTTCCTGTTTTTGTTGTCATTTATTTATTTAGGTCAGTCACCCCTCTGTGGGGCAGCCTCTCTGCTGGCAGTAGGCAGCTGGAAAATAAGTACTTTCATTGCTCAGTAAAACACTTCTACCAGTGTGCGGGGGGTCCTGGAGACAGTGATGGACATCAGCCATTCTGGAATCTGTCACCTCAGGCGTCCGCAGGGTGTTCGTCCCATGCACTCTGACCAGGCTGAGGGGTCTGCCTCTGGGTTTGTGGCCCACATATGACAGATGGGTTGGTTTAGTTCCAGAGCTGTTGGGCTCCCTGGGGGGGGCCTTGCAGACACCCACACAGGCCTGGAGAGGCCCATTGTATTGCCCTAAACAGAGGTGAGGAAAGGAAGAGGTTGGGGAGGCTGAGGGGATTCCTGAGCCCCCAGGCACACTTAGTGGGGGCAGGAGGGCTCAGGAGGCTCTTGCCTGGGGGGGCCTTTAACTTGTGACCGGGTGGAGGCACTCCCAGAAGCCTTCTGCAGCCCTTGTGTACTATGTGAAGGGAGGGAGAAGACTGCTGTGTTCAGGGCCGAGGCTTTGGCCACCTGCTGGTGGGAACAGACTGTAGAGAAGTAGCCGTGTCTTTGCTCAAAGGCGATTTTCTCGGGTATGTGCCGCTTGCAATTGTCGCCCTGGGTGGGTGTTTTTGGGCCTCTTTCTCCTTGGTCCTTAGGGTTTAGTACTAGTACGTACCTTTTAGCTCAACACAGCCTTTCCTTATCCATGCCTGTTTCCATCAGAAGGTCAGTTCCAGGAGAGTTGGGATCTTTGCTTCCCCGCACCTAGAGCTGGGGCCATCCGGCAGGTGGTCTGGTGAGAAGGTGTCTCAAAGTCTGGGGGCCCTCAGTGCTGGTTCGACCACGAGAGGGCGCCACAGCACAGTGCTCCCTGGACAAAGTGAGAGGACCGTCCGCTCTGGCTTTAGCAGATTTGTGTCAGCCCCTGGGTGATCCCAGCTTTTCTGCAGATGTTCTGACAGGCGGTGTGAGGAGCTAGGCACAGCTCTGCCTCGTGTGCAGTGTCTACATTGGTGGGACTGAAGTCTCCAGGGAGTGTGATCACTCATGGTGCCAAAGGGCAGGGCTGGGCAAGGTCCCTGGGGCATCACCTCTGATGTCCCAGGGGAGGGCAGTGTGTTTCTGTCCCTGCTAGTGCCTGGTGCTCAGTGGCCATTCTATCTGGAGGTACCGCTGACCCCCTCCTGTTCTTGTAGATCATCCCCCCGAAGGAGTGGAAGCCACGGCAGACGTATGACGACATTGATGACGTGGTCATACCAGCCCCCATCCAGCAGGTGGTGACAGGCCAGTCGGGCCTCTTCACGCAGTACAACATCCAGAAGAAGGCCATGACCGTGGGGGAGTACCGTCGCCTGGCCAACAGCGAGAAGTATGCAGCGGGCCCTGGGTGGTGGGTGCGCCCGTCCCGGGCGTGAGGCGGCACCACATCTTGAAGGCCTCTGTGCCCCTAGAAGTGGGGCTTGTGGCTTCTGGCTCTGTGAAGCACAGTTTACCAGGGCTCTGGGGATGCAAGATGTTGGGTGCACATAGCCCCCCCACAGTGCAATCATGGGCATTCGTGGCACACACACCGGCGTGCTCAAGGGCGCATGGTCGGGCACGGTCTCAGGCTCCGGGGCACACAGGCTTTCAGGAGTCTTCCTAGCAATGCTCCCCGGTGCTTGCATGGGTGAGAGTGCGCACGCACCACACACGCACTGGCACGCGCCTGCGGGCTCACGGTCTCCGTCCTGAGCACCCGTGGCGCACACACCGGCTTAGACACCGCGGCCTTCTTCCCCGTTCTGTGTTGTTCCCAGCTGCTCTCACCCTTGAAATCGTTTGTGTATTTCTGGCCTGTCTCTTTGTTCTCGAACATAAGTGCCGGTGGGGCGAGGCCTTACCTGCCCTTTTCCTCACTGATCCTCCCCCACAACCGTCCTAGCCTGTTGCTCGCTCTCTGGGCTTCGCAGCTGGTGAGATGAGAAGCCCACGTTGCCTTCAGCTGCCCCCACTGTCCCCACACAACATCATTAACAAGATAGGGTGCATGGGCGTCATCCTGTCAAGGGCACGTGCTCTTCCCACACACGCATCCCTGGCATTGACGCTTGTGCACCTGGACTGAGCCCACATCCGTGTTCTAGGGGCTGTGCCGCGGTGGGCAGAGCCCTGCCGGGGGCTTGCAGCAGGCAGCCTGGAGCCTACATCTCATCTCCTGCGCTGTTTGCTCACCAGGTACTGTACCCCACGGCACCAGGACTTCGATGACCTGGAGCGCAAGTACTGGAAGAACCTCACCTTTGTCTCCCCCATCTACGGGGCCGACATCAGCGGCTCTCTGTACGATGACGTGAGTACTGGGGTCCCCTTGGTGCCGCAGCTGACCATTCTGGGGAAACAAGGGGCTCGCTTTCTTGGCAACTGTTGGAAGAGAAACAGTATAAGTGGGACCTGATCTGAAAAGCCAAAGTTAAAATGACACAGAACCCTTAGCTGTGTTTTCTTCTAGATCCTAGTTACAACTCTAGTCGGTCCTCTCAACCTCGCTAGTGAGGTTCTTAGACACAGACTGTAAGTGAAACAGTGGAGAGCAAGAGCCCACCCAGCAGTGCCCGTCGCGTGGAATGCACGGTGCCGAGGCAGTGGTGCTGCCGGCCCCGCCAGACTGCTCGCGGGGCCAGGAGAACCCCGCGCTTTCCTGGTTGGGGGTCTCCCCTACTCAGCTGCCGCCTGCTGGCCCCGCCCCGCATCCTTCCCGCAGCGGCTGACTTCAGCAGAGGTCGGCTAACCTGGGTGCAGGCTAACTGGGGGCCAGTGGGACTGTGTCCCTGGGTCTGCTGTGTCCGTGGGGACCTGTCACCTGAGTGGTCTCTGCCTCTCCCGTGCACTGCCATTGCCTTTCTGTTTGCTTTGAGGGCCTCCCAGCCGAGGGGGCTGGGCCCCCAGCCTCAGTTTTATACCAGGCGTGAGGTCCAGAGCAGCCCTCCCTAACAGCTCATCTCACTCTCCAGTTTCATCCTCACACAGCTTCTGGAAGCTGCTCAGGCAGAGCACAGTGTCGGTGTCCCTGTGTACACAGCACTGTGGCGTGTGTATGCCTGTGGGGTCCTCAGTGCTTCCTGATGGACCCCACTCTGACCTCCCTGACCTGCCTCCACCAGGGAGGTCAGGTGCCATGGACTAGAGGCACTGGTTGTTTCCAAGCACTGACGCCACACCTGATCTCGGGAACTGAGAGCGCAGTTGTGGTAGGGTCTCTGCGAGCAGAGCCAGCGCCCCCCTCCCCATGCCCCGCCCAGCCTCCCTCTCCACACTTCCCCAAGGCTCGGGGCACCCTCTGTGTCCAGCTTTGAGCTGGCCTTAGAGTCCATTCTGGTGGGTGGACTCCCTTGCTGTGTCCCTCCACCCTGGCCACTCACTCAGCCTCCGTTTGGGCAAAGCCCACTGGTGCCCGGTGGTTAGTGTTAGCGTCTGTCCGGCCCCCGCCCGGTGTGCCGTGTGCCTCTGCTTTATCGGCCATGACTTCCCGAAGGGGAACCTGACCCCAGCCACCTGAGGGGATGGCTTGTGTGCTTGCGTGTGAGATGAATGTGCTCAGATGCCTTCTGTCGACGGGTCCATTATTTTCCATACAGGGTTTTGGGACATCAGGGCTAATTGGGATCATTCGTGTGCTTGTCAGTTTGTCGGTGATCTGAATTCCTGCTTTGCTTTTCAAAAGCACTATTGAGGTATGATTCACATACCACACGAGTCACTCCATCTCAAGCATACATACAATTCAGTGAGTTTAGTGTCTTCATGGAGGTGTGCAGACATTGCCACAACCAATATGAGAACATTCTTATCACCCCATGAAGAAAACATGCCCCTAGATCCTTTAAAAACCACTCATCTCCTTTCTGTCTCTGTGGAGCTGCCTGTCCTGGCATTTCACACCTGTGTGGCCTTGTGTCTGGCTTCTGTCTGAGCATTGTGTGTTCAAGGTCCATCCATACCACAGCATGTGTCAGTGCTTTGCTCCTTTTTATGACTAAGTAGTATTCCACTTCATGGATCTCCTCTTTATCCACTCACCAGTTGATAGACATTTGGGTTGTTTCTACTTTGGGGATATTATAATAATGCTGCTATGAATATTTATACACAGGTTTTTAATATAGATTTGTTTTCACTTTTCTTGGGCATGTACCTACTGGTGGGGAATTGCGGTTCAGGTGCTAACTGTTTTGATGAGCTGCCAGACTGTTATTTTTCCAAAGCAGCTGCGCTATTTTATATCCTGACAAGCAGTGATTGAGGGTTCCAAATCCTTCCACATCCTTGTCAACTCTTGTTACTGTCTGTCTTTTCCACTGGAGCCACCCTAGTGGATGTGAAGTGCTTTCTCATAGTGATTTGCAGTTCTCTGGTAGCTGATGATGTTAGATGTTTTTTCATGTGCTTATTGAGAATCTCTGTATCTTCTTTGGAAAAATGTATCCAGATCATTTACCCAAATTGGGTTGTCTTTGATTACAGAATTGAGTTGCAAGCGATCTCCCTACATTTTTTCATATAGTCATTTGTTTATATTTCTGGTGAGGTATCTTTTCAGGTCTCTGGTCTCTTTTAAATTGAATTATTGTTGAATTGTAAGTGTCCTTTACATATTGCTGTGTCCCTCCACCCTGGCCACTTCACTCAGCCTCCGTTTGGGCAAAGCCCATTGGTGCCCGGTGGTTAGTGTTAGCGTCTGTCTCAGCCCCCGCCCGGTGTGCCGTGTGCCTCTGCTTTATCACCCATGACTTCCCGAAGGGGAATCTGACCCCAGCCACCTGAGGGGATGGAGGTCCTATATCAGATGTGTCTTCTTCAAGTATTTTTTTTTTTCTAATCAGTGGCTTGTCTTCTTGTTCTTTTGAGGATGCAGTATTTCTATTTAAAAATAAAAATTAGTGCCTAGTCCAGTGAAAACCTCTGGGTTTGCTCTTGTGCTGCCTCCAGCTGGTAGGTTGGTGGTGATGGCCCTGGAAGAACACAGCAGCCAAGTCTGGGCTCAGCTCTGCCAAGGCCGACATGACGGCGATACTTGCCATGGATTCTGGAAAAAGATTCAGGGCTCAGTGTGCCATGTCTGCCATGCCTGACTAGTGCAGCGGTCTCCTTTTTCAGATGGGGAAACAGGCCCAGAACCAGAACCGAGCAAGGACTCGCCCTGGTCATAAGGATGAATTACAGCCCGGCCCAGTTAAACCTGGGGCTCCTGCCTGCAGCTGTTCTGTTGATAGGTGGGTCGGACCCGCCTGTCAAGGGATGACCTGCTTCAGGGCCCCCCGACCTCAGGCACCTTCTGCTCTAGATCTTGGACTTCTCGTCCTCCATTGAGGGGTCTGCTGCTGCCCCTTTCTGACTTGCGCTCCCACCAGGGCTTATCTGGCAGAGGTCAGCCATGCTACTGTCATATTGGGTTGAAACCGGGGCAGGAGTGGGTGTCAGGTTGGATTTGGGGCAAGAAAAAGCACTCAAGTTCACTTGGCATTTCAACAGACTGGGGGGGTTCTTCAGGGGCTAGAAATTGAGCAGTGTGTATTTCATGAACTCTCATGACAAGACGGGTTTGTGTGCTTGTGGCATTAGGACTAGCCGAGTCTGGCTGTGGGGATTCTGGCCTGTTCGCCTGGCGCTGGGCGCGCTCTGTCTCCTCATCGGCAGATGCAGGAAGATGTCTGGCACCAGTGCTGGGCCAGCCCCGCTCAGCAGTTGTTCTCTCCTGTGTCATTGACTTTGAGGCTCATTAACTATTCATGACTAAACTGAAACCTTTTCAGTGCAGCCTTCATAGCCATGATTAACCCACAACTCACCATGGAATCCAGCAAAAGTTCCTCTCTGACTGCTCAGCCTGGGGTGGGCAGCTGACCTGCAGGCCAGGGTCCTCCTTTGTCTGTCTTTCTTTTGTCCTTGACCAAGGGACTCTGCAGCCCACAGTGGGTTTGGAGACTGGGGCGGGTGAGCTTCTGAGGTGGGGAGGTCTGGAGCTGTCTTGGTTCCTCTTGGAGATCTTGGTTCTTCTCTGGGGGTCACACTGCAGCTTGGTGCTTGAGGGAACCACAGTCAGACTTCTCGATCCCTTAAGTGCGCCTGGGGTGGCCAGGCCCAGAGTGCTGCACTGACCTGTGCTCGCTGCCTTTGCAGGACGTGGCCCAGTGGAACATTGGGAACTTGCGGACCATCCTAGACATGGTGGAGCGAGAGTGTGGCACCATCATTGAGGGTGTCAATACCCCTTACTTGTACTTTGGCATGTGGAAGACCACCTTTGCCTGGCACACAGAGGACATGGACCTGTATAGCATCAACTACCTGCACTTCGGGGAGCCCAAGTCTTGGTGAGTATCTGGCCAGCAGCCTGGGAGCCGTGTGGAGGGCTGCTGAACGGGTTCATGTGGAGGCAGGGGTGCTTTTGGGGCGTCTGCCTGGGCCTGCTGTTGTCAAGTAGGGGTTGGGGAGGGTTCTGGCAGCTGAATAGGAGCAGCTTTGGTTGGTTTTGGGGGGGTATTCCCTAGACATGAAGCTTCCAGATCCCTGGAATTTATGGTTTGCAGCTGGGGCACCACCTGGGTTCGTGTCAGGCTTGTGGCTGTTGTACTAGGATCTGTCCCTTGGCCCATGGGGTTGGGCAGTGTGTGGCCTTGTGTTCTGAACCCCTCCCAACTGCCTCCTGGCCTTGCCCTTCCTCCGGCAAGTGATCCCTAACAGCTCCTGTGGAGACAAGACACTTCTGTCTCCCGAGTGTGATGGGCTCTGCGGGCCGGGCAGCGTTGTGTTCTGGAAGCTCTGAGCTGAGTGTGTACTTCACAACCCTCCTCCGCGGCAGGACAGGCAGTGCCCCTTCTGCGGGTTGCTTTTGTTCGCTGGGGTTTTCTAGTAGAGACTGGGTCTCTGCATCTCGGCCTCAGCCCGCAGTCTCAGAGAGCTCTGCTGCGCTAAGCACGTGTCGCAGAGAAGAGTGGGGGCAGATTCTGATACTCAGGGGCTGATCACTAAGCCTTGGGAAATGGGGGGCAACTCAACACAGCTGGGGGCCCAAGTGGACGAAAGCCAAGCCCCCTTTGTCTGTCCCCCGTGTGCTGTCTTCTATCGGTGTCAGAGGCTGATATGTGTCAGGCGGCCTGCCTATGTCCCCGCACCCACATCTGCTGCTGTTCTGAAGTTGGGGTGAGGATGGATTTGAACCAAGCTTCTCCTTCCCTCCCCACCCCTTCCGTCGGCTCTCAGCCTCCCTGGGCTTGCCTGTCACCTGATGGGCTGTGCTGAACCTGCCTGGGCTATGAGCACAGGGCGGGCTGCAGAGACATTAAGAACTTTGTTCCAGGAGCTTCAGAGTCCCTCGCTCCCCCAGAGTTCAGGGACGCAGCTTACCTGCTCCCCGTCGGAGTGTCTGAGGAAGCCTGGGTGCTCTGCGTTGGGCCTGTGGCTCTGCAGCAGCGCTTGGAGGGTGCCTCCCCTTGTTGTGACCGCCCCTCCTGAGTGTCTCTGGCCCTGCCGACTGGCCCTTCAGCTCCAAGCTGTCCCCAGTTGTCCCTCCCCCAGTGTCACCCCAACCCCTGGCCTATGTGTGGTAGGAATATGTGGTTCTTTTCAGTGCTGAAGCTCTCAGGCTTCAGAAAGAAGAGGAACACACCCATTCCAGGGAGCATGTGTTTTCTCTTCTGAGCTCTGTTTCATTTTTCTTTTTTTTTTCCACGAGATTTATTTATATGCATAGCACTAGGGTACAGGCCAGAGGTGAGGGGGTGAAAGGACTCACCAGAGACAGAGTGGGGAGCAGAACAGGCTGACGGACAAAGTATGCTGCTGAGGGGAGCAACGGGGAGACAGGAGAGGTCTGCCGCGCCATGTGGGTCACTCCCTGGCCGGGGATCGAACTCGTGCTGTAGCAGCTGCGGCTCTCATAGTGCTGCATTCTAACCCACTGTGCCGCCAGGTAGGGCCCTCAATCTCATCTTCTTTAGATAAAAAGTCAACATTTGACTTGAGAGCAGGAGTCCCTGGGGGCCTAGGCCCTGGGAGAACACTCGTGGGAGCACCTGGCCAGTCTGCAGAGCTCGGCTTCTTCTCTGACTCTGTAGCAGAGCGGCACTTGCTGCCCTGTGCGCCACTTCCCGGTGGCACAGAACACAGCAAACCTGGGAGCCTCTGGCCCCTTTTTACCCATTTCCCCGCCCCATCCTCCCTGAAGCTTGTTGGCTTGCACACCTCGTGACTCACCTACTTGCTAAAGTTTGACTGAAGGTGTGAAAATCCGAATTTTTGAGGTACCCTTGGACCCTGAGATTCTGACTTGAAGGTGGGGAGAGAAAAGATAGAGACACTTTCTCTCTTCTCCCATGTGGACACATCTGTTTGCACCCAGAGGGTTTGTTGGCACTGAGTAAGTTGCTCTTTAAGAGGTTGAACTCTTGGAGCCTGTTGCTGAGTGGCACAGTAGGGCCCTGCTGTCCTGTGTCAGCTGCATCTCTGCTCCTCACAGCTCCTCACTCTGGGCTGGCAGAGCGGAATCCCGCCCTGGTCCGGCCACTGCTTCTGCCCAGAAACTTGGGGAGGATTAGAAGCAGGGCTGGGCCCGGAGTGCGTTACCTGCAGGGCCTCCAGAGAGCGGGCACCGACCTGGCAGCTGCCCCCAGGCACACCTACTGCTAGTTCTGGAGTCCTGGCGTCCGAGTCAGTCTCCTGGGCCTAAAATGAGGGTGGGAACAGGGCTGCTTCTTCTGAGGCATCCTGACGCCGGCCCTGCCTCGCCCTCACAGCCAGCAGTGCAGCTTCCTCCTTCCTTGGGCCCCGGGAATCAGGATGCTCCCACCTCAGGGGCCTCAGCTTCATCCCCTCTGCTAGAGGGGACATGTCCACAGGCCCCAGGTGTGATGTGGGCATATTGGGGGCCACAATTCAGCCACCCCGTGTTGCTCCCTCTGACCCCTGGCATTGCAGGGCCGCCCTGCTTCCTGCTCTTCTCCCCTGTGCGGCACAGTGTCTCTTCCTCCCCTTTTCTGCTTTGGGTTTCTTCCCTGGGCGCCAGGTCCCATGGGAACAGGTGGCTTCCTGTGCTTAATTCGAGTGGCACCCTCTGGAGCTACTGATACGGTCTGGCCCTGGCCCGACCAGACCCTGGGGGACCCTGTGAGTGGGGCCGGCTGCTCCCTCTCTGGGCTGTTCCACCCTGACCTTGGCCTGTCTCAGCCCAATGAAGGGACCTGGACCTGGGCATGGCTGCAACTCTCTATTTTCTTTTCTAAAAACAGGGATCTCAGCCATTCCTGTCTCCAGGACTCGTGGGAGGAAGATGAAATTCTCGCCGTGGGCAAGTGCTTGGCTGGAGGGTCCCCTGAACGCGGGCTTTCTCTTGCTCCCAGAGCCTTTGTGGGGCTCAAGCACTAGTTCTTTAGTTTTAGAAATTCCTGAGCAAAATGGAAGAAGTGGTCCAGGCTTGATAGGGAGGGGCTGTTGGCAGGCAGACTGAGGGGGACCACAGGACCCTAAAGACAGAGCATACTCAGTGTGAAAGCACTTTAATTGATTACTGTACATAGAGAAGAGAAGAAAGTATAATAGTTTTCCAGTAAAACACCCCAAATGACTCATCCCCTGGTGGGCAAATGCCCACTCACAGGGTCCTGCTGAAGCTGGCTGCTGGAAAGCTCGCCAAGGCCTAAGGCCCCTCTGACAGGGAAGCAGGACAGGGCAGAAGGGGCCAGGCGGAACTAAGCACTAGTCAAGATAAGGCTGCCGCTGTCCCTCTCCCGCACGCTCGCACACGCGTCTTCCACACGTCTGCACTCTTGCCCACGAGTCTGCCTACATGGCCCCCCGAGCCCTTGGGGCAAGTCCAAACCTGAGAAACCAGCGAACGTTTCCCACGTCTCTCTGTGTCCCTTCCTGTCCTGTTCTCTTGGTGCCTCCAGCTGTGTCCCTGCGGCTACCTTCGCCCATTGTACAGCTTTACCTGGCACTCGGCTCCATCCCTCCCAGGTGGCCTGGGAGCATGGGCTCTCCCCCTTTCCTGGAGATGTCTCTGTGCCAGGGCCATGCTCTGTGGGCCGTAGGCAGGGCCAGGGAGCCCAGCTGCGTGGGTGAGGTGGCTCTGTGCCCGGCCTGTCCTGATGTGCCTCAGTGCCACTCGCTGGCCCCTGCAGCGTGTCCTCCCTATGGGCTCCCGTGTCCACGAGGCCTGAGCCCCAGGGCGGGGTAGACGATCCGCCTTCTCCCAGCTCCCGAGCAGAGTCACGGGCCAGGGTACCTGAGTGGCATGAGGCTGGCGTGAGTGGGAGTGCGGCGCAGCGTGTCTGCACACCTTTGAGAACGTGTGCACAGTTGTGCGTCTTGTGAGGATGGAGCTGTGTTCTCAGAGTGTACTGCTGGTGATTTCCTCTTGCTAGTGTAAACATACCTACAGACGTACAGACACCCAGACGGTGCAGCCCCCCCTAGGCTGAATGGCCAGCCGTTGGGTCTGCTGCCTCTCGTGTGGCCTGTCGATGGCCAAAATGTTGGTGGCGTGGCTGCGTATGTGTGATGCGTGTGCGTTTGTGTCACTTGGGTACTTGTGTTTGTGCACCATGTATGTGGCTGTTTGTGTGTACCTGTGTGTTTGTGTAGTGTGAGCGGGGGGCCTATATTTGTGCATGTGGAGTGTGTGTGTGTGTATGTGTGAGAGGTGCAAAGCCCCCACGCTGGCCTGGGAGGTGGGGAGTGGGGTCTCTGCTCCCTCCCAGGGTCGTGGCCATTCCTGCCTGTGCAGCTCCCCCAAGGGCCTCTAGGTGGCACTCCTGCCCTTCTCGCTGGGTGCAGTCCCTGTGCTGGTTGAAATTTCCCTGTTCTGGTCGTCTTTACGACCCCTCGAGCAGTGCTGGTCCCGAGGAGCCATAGGAGGCGGGCAGTGAGGACTCCCCAGGGCGTCAGGGCCAGTTTAGGGTTTGCAGCCCCGTGCTGGAGTGGAGTTGAGCTGTAGGTGCCCCGCCAGCCCCTGTTCCCCGACACAGTAGCTACGTTCTTCTGTGCCAGAACCCTCCCCACTTGCTTCCTGAAGTGGGGCAGGGGCCCCAGGTTGGCATGGCACCATATGCTTATCCTTCGGGGCAGGTCCTGACTAGCTGAACATGTTAGCCTTGCCCATGTTAGTGCCAGTCTCTCCTCGCCAGACCGTGGGGTCGGAGGCCCTTGAGCCCCTGGGTTCCCAGTCCCTAGCAGGGGCAGGCCCGAGAGGGGGCCCCATGACTGTCCAGCGGCCTGGGTGCTGGGATGTTGGTGACCCCTCTGGAAACTCACGCTGAGGTTTACATCATGTGAAGCTGTGCTGTCTTTGTGGGAGCTGGTCCTCCAGACCCCTCCA